AGATGCTTTTTTCCCAGGAAAGTAAGTTTTTCTTCCCATAAGGTGCCTTTCCTCCAAGGTGCTGCCTTACCTGCCATTGAGGGAAGGCTCCACGTTCATGGGTGAATTACAGTCACTCCAGTCTGAGGGTTCATGAGGTTTTGCTGCTGTTTTGCTGCAGCCCTGGCACGTGCCATCAGGCCCAGGGCACCTGAGACCCCTCTGCTAAGGGGTGGGCGAGGGAAGCCATCAAGGCAGCGCTGGTGGGCTGAAGCCGCTCGATAGCACAATGTTATTAATGGATTTTTTTTTTTTTGTTCTTGCATTTCCCCTCTGCCTCCTTCTCCCTGGTGTGCCTGGGTGCCCCGTGGCTCACAGGAGAGAGGCATCCTGCAGCATCTTCTGTGCCTCCCGGTCATTACCAGGCTGACTTGTCAGCTGTGCTGTAAATAGGACCCAGAGTGACAGGACGGCACCAACCCTGCCATTGCTGCGTGGGGCTGCCAGGCAGCTGTTCCTCTGTTTCATTAGCACTTGGGGAACAGATAATGTAGTGGCAAGCTTTGTGTTTTGGTGGTTTTTGCTTTGGGTTGGGTGGTTTTTGTTTTGTTGGATTTTTTTTTTTCTGTTTCTTTAGAGCTCTGTGACAGCTTACACTGCTGTGAAAACAAACAGCTGGGATTACACTTTTTCCAACAAGCTTTTCAGTCTGTGTGGTATACAAAGGAGCAAAGGAGGTATTGCTCATTCTTCCCTACTCAAAGAAAAAAAAAAAAACAACCACCAAACCCAACAAAACCCCAGATGGGTTAGTTTTATATGCATGTGCCCAAGAAGCTACTTTTTGGCAGACAGGTCAGCCAAGAAGATAAAACAACACTGTCAGAGAGTAGAGCCTTACTTTCTTCTTATTTTTTTCTTCTGGTCTATGTAATACATCACTGGTAATTCAGGGAGTAAGAGCAATGGAACGGGATGTCTTTGCAGGCCCCGTGGCTCTGATGCTGGGGGATTTTACAATTGTTTGTACTCTTTGATAGGGAAACTGCTCCAGAGACGTGATGCTGGGGAAGATCCAGCATAAGGCGGTTTCTACAAAGCAAGTGCTAGATCATAACACTGTTAAAGAGGAGAGGTGTCCACTGTCCCAAGCTGCCACGTGCTGCAAGATGAAAGGGACAGCACAGAAAGCAGAGGGAACGATGACAAGCAGCCTTCTGCCCCCAGCCCCTGCAGGTGGAAGTACCTCCTTAGCTGCACATATGTGTTATTTTAGCTTTATGCAGTGCGAGAAGTCGCAAATCTCTTTTTCTCTTGCTGCCTAAGCCTAGCTTATCTAATAGCTACATCTGGATTTACAGCAGCCCACTTGTAGATGTCGAGGAGAAGCAGTGGCTAAAAGCAGGTCACTGCTGCGCCCTGCATACAAATCACAGCTATAGAGACTGGGTTCCTGCGCCTGTGAACCAACATGAAACCAATGAAAACAAATGGGGGAAAAGTGAACAATTTCACCAGGAAAAAAGCTGCTGCACCAAGACACCCTGATGGGACAATGCTCAGGCAGCACGCTGCTGCCCAGCTCTTAGCCGACACACAGCTCATGTGCTTCCTCCCACCTCTCTATCCTACCCTATTTTGACATTAGGGAGAACTATTGTGCTACAAAAACCCCAGCGCATTTATCTAGCTACAGCTGAATTTGTACAGATTCTCTTCAGGTCCATCCTTCCAAGCCAGAAAAAATGTCACTAATTAAAAAAAAAAGCAGCAGTTGCTCACAGTGGCAGAGGGAGCCACGAGCGGCTCATGGGGCTTTATGAAACAGAAATACTGCCCCTTGCTTCCAGCATACGTGAAGTTTTCTTCTGTTAAAGCCTAGCTAGAGAAAAACCTCAAGCTTTCTCAAAGCTGGAAAATAGATGTTAGTCAGCTGGACAGAGAAATTTCATACATGTGTCCTTAAAAACCAGCTACTTATGAGCTAGGCTTTGGCTGCAAACTGTTCAACAGGACCTATATGACCAGAGAGGAAAGCATCGCTTTGCACTAAGCAATGTATGCTAAAAAAAAAAAAAATCACCTGGGTGAAGCAGCAGTAAAGAAGTCTTCAATACTAGTGAAAGATGAAGGCTAAAAAATGCTATTTGCCCATGCTCTGGCATGTGTTTCATCCTGCAGGACTATGAGAGCTGGAGGCAGCTGAGCAGTCAGATTGGTGGGACAGCTATCGCCACAGCGCTGAGGGAAGGAAGGAGTGCAACAGGGAAAAGAAAAAAAAGAGAGAATCACACAAATTACCACCACATAGCTTGATCTTTACTAATAAAGCCAAACAACAAAACATCAGCATTTTTTTTCCTCTTTTTCTGCCCAAAGAAAATCTCCATTTTTAACACTACTGCTTTTTGCAACAGATGGACTATTACACGTGGACAAAGCAAACCAGGGAATATTAAGACAATTTTCCACATTTTAGTTTGATGTGATTTCTGAAAAAAAGAAGTCTTGGTGAAATGCATTTTTCACCTTTACACAGTATCCTTTCTTAACGGACCACCTAGATGTCACAATGCTGTGATGAACAGAAAGGAAGGACCATGGGGAAAGTCATGTCAGGAAGATGAGGCAGCCGCACTGTGTCAGATGCTTCCTGACTCGATCGTTACATTTCCAGTGTTGTTCAGTTCCAAGAGGATTCTGCAGAGAAAGGCAGTGCTGGGCCCCACCACAGCAGAAGACTGGCTACGGTACAGACAGAGCTGGTAGCTGACTTGCTCATTATTTTGATGGGTGCACTCAAGCATCTCAGAGATGTGCTCAGTATGAAGGTGTTCTAAGTGTGTATATATACCTATATATTCTTTAAACCAGCAAGTTTTAATTCCCCTTAGACTCCAACCAGACAAAATTACCTCCCACAGGTGCTACTCCAAGCTCAGCAGCCAAGAAGGCGTGTATGTATATCATCATTGAAGGGAAAAACCTGCCTGTCCCCCCCCCTTGTTAAGCTGTGAGTACAACACATGCTTGGGATCTACCAGGAAGGCCTGTGGCTTCTGTTCTGTGTTTGCAGGTGGTTCCTGCAGACCTAGCAAGCCCTCTCCCTGCTAACCTACCTCACCTGCTCTGCAGTCACAGTGGAGAAGAAAATAGGGGTGGGGGTGATGTGAAACTGAATCAGAGCTGCCTTCTACCTCCTCTGTTAGAATTTCTGTGAGACTTCACGCTGGGCAAGTTTCCTCCCTGGCTTATCTATGGGCAGGATCAGTGACCCACAGGCTGAGAAAAGGAACACAGAGTTAGACCTTAGCATGCTTGACACGGAGGAACATCTCCTCTGAGATGGCCTCTACTGGTATACGCTGTGCACTGCCTCCCGTAATCAGCTCTCCCTGTTCCTTGCTGATCCCTCTGCTTTCTGCAGCTCTCCTCCAGTTTGCTCACCCCCCCTGCTTGCCATGCAGCATCCCTCATTCCCACTGTCTTCCAGCATTTTCCCTTGTTCCTGGCTGTAAAGCTGCAGCTGGGTTTGCTGTCCCATCACCTCATCTTCTGCCCTTTGCAAAAAGGATGGAAAAGCGTCTCCCACTGCTCCCGTGTTTTAGTCCTACCTGACAAACCAGCAGAGGAGCTACCCTGGGACATTAAGCTGTCCCTGCACTGGCACTGCTGCCATTGCCCAAGGGAACGGAATGTAGATATTATTCACATCCCATCAGATTTGGCAACAGACACTATAAAGTTCACGGAAGTCACCTGCTACCATTCAGAGATTTATGCAGGAGCAACAATACATCTCCCAGGCTGACTGCAAACGCTGGTGCTCAGCAGATGGCCCACAGGTCGCCTATATCCCAATGCACGCCTGAAAGGTCAAAGTCTCTGCCATCTGTCACACTCCCACGCGATAGAAGGTATCAATTAAAATAAGCACCTGGAATGACAGAGCACAGGGAGATTCACAGGAAGGACGACAACAGAGCTTGAGTGAGTGGGAGTGTGCTACACTTACTTACCCCAATAATGAGCATCCTTACTCTCTGGAACACATAAGCCCACTGTAAGTGGACTTCCAGTATGTCCCACTTCTTCCACATCAAGAGCCTGATACTCAGGAGCACCTGAAGGCAGGTATTTCACAACCCCACCACACTACAAAAGGAAACAAAGCACTAGCAGCACAGTTAAAACATAAGGGCAAAGGGCTTTTTCTGTTTGGATTTTCAGATTAAATCAACTTCAATTGCAGCCTCTACCACTGGTTTCATCTTGCTCATTAATCTTCTGCAGCCTCCACAAGCAGATGGTATTTATTGCTCCTATCACACTATATGGGCCAAATGCAGCAGGGCTGGGAAAGGGAGGGAAGGGTCCAGAACAAATCACCACCTTGGTTTGGAAGCAACACTCATCCTGAGCTACCAGCATGAGAAACTGCCCTGCCACCCTCCCTGACTCATTTGTACACTAGATACAGCAGGACAGGTTTATTACAAAGCCACATACAGGAGAGGAGAAGCACAGTTATGCTGTCCCGGCTCTGCCCTGGGTGGCAGTTAGTACGGGTGACTCCCCCTTCAGTTTGTTAAGTTCACGCCATGCGATGGGGCTTTGCGGAGGTGGGGTCAAGCACCTCCACCCTGCAGTAAGTGCCTAACACACTAACCAGGTGCAGGTATCAAAGGGAGCTTCTCTTTCAAGCTTTCAAAAAAATCTCCCACAACAGCAGCAAAAGACAAGTCAGGTCCCTTCCAACCTGCTAAGTTTCTGAAAACTCATCCCTCTTCACCACAAAAGGCTCATCTCCATCACTTCAGCTTTTAGGGACTGTGGAGGAAAATGCAGAAAAACATGAACATAAAACTGTTTATCATCCCTCTTCTGAAGTTGCCAGCTCAAGGCATTGTCCTGCAGAGAAGGTGGAACTCTCTGGGTCACCACACTGCAGAAAGCAACGCTGCTGTTGTGAGTCATGCACGAAGGTACAGGACAGAGATTCACACAGAGACCAGCTTTTTGCTAACAACAAAAGACTCGGATCAACAGACAACACCAATAAACATGCAGAGCATGTCAAAGACCTGAAGAAGACAAATACAACGGAAGAGAGAAAGTTCAAAACTTGACTTCTCTTGTCCTACGTCTGAAGGTGTGGCTTTAACAGAACTTAAATGTGGCTTCTCCCATTCATGCTCTAATGCCTTCATGGTCCTTTGGGGCAGCGGGGGGCTGGGGATGAGAAAAGGAGTTTATCCATCCGTCGGCTCAGGGTCTAGTTGGTTCAGTATCAGAGGCACTAAGCAGTCTCATCTCTTTTGGCATCAGCTTTCTTTCCAAATGATCTTTTAGCTGTCCTGTTCCACTTTGTTTTCCCTCCTTTGAGGTCCAAGTTCAAACGCTGGAAACTGGGAAGTCTCCGGTACTGAAATATCTGAGAGGAAGTGAATAGCTCCAGCCATGCCTAAAACATAACAAGAAAGAGATCTTTGTGCATCTTTGACACAAAAATAGCACAGTTGGCAGCAAAGGCCACAGCACCTGTTTGAACACCTCCTCACTAGGTCTGTTATTGAACAGGGGAACTTAAGGCCAACAGAAAGGTAAGTTCATCTGTCCTTTGATAAGGAAACCAAGTTTCACTTGAAAAGTTCAAAGGTAAGAACCAAGATCTCTCTGCTACCATCTTTGCAGCTCCACAACCTCAATGCTACTTCCATGAAGAAAAACTAAATCCCAGTTTGCGCTGTCCTTCAGAATTTGAGTAGCTCTTGCTCATCATTTCACTGGTTAAAAAATTAAGGCAAAACTTTATTCTACTTGTGATGTACAGGTTCATTTGTTCACTGTTCATAGAGGTCATCCAGAGCCTGAAGCCCTAACACTGGCATCACCTAATAAAACTGTGAAGGTGACAGATGACAGACACACTCTACAGCAGGACAGCATACAAATACAAGCTCGGTTTTATGATCAAGCTAAAATCCTATTTTATCAACAGTTAAGCACATCCAAACAAAGGAACCTTCCTGAAATGCAGCACCTGATGCAAATGAAAAGATTAAGACAATCCCACAAGATGCACATGCAACTTCCACTGAAAATGCGCACGTACGTGCAGAATTGGATGACTTCAAGCACAATTTTGGCAACAGAAAAAACCCCAAATTAAGAACTGTTTTGTCTCAAATTTGAGACTTCTAGATTTTTCTAAAAAAAAAAATTACATTAAAAAACTATGCTAAAAGCTGTATATCAGCACTAAAGCACAAATCATCCTTTTGTTGGCATTACTTCACCTTTGTATGCATCCTTTTTCCCCTCTACAAGTGCATGCAAGGCAGCTCTCAGGAATATGAATACTTATACTTTTCTCTCTTAAACATGAAGACAGTAAGCGTATTTAGAAGGGATACATATAACTACTGCTCTCTTGTGTTCACACCTTGAATTGGTTTATTTGTAAAATCATTGCATTCGGTCTGCTGTAATTTCACATATTTGTGATAGGTGGCACACGAGGCTCACTGTTCATGAAATCCTGCTTGGGTCTATGATTCCTTGCTACTGTGTTTCTAAAACATCAGGATCAGTACAGCACAATTTTATTCAAGAATGACAGTGGCACTGGCTTTACATTGAAAACTGCTAAAGTGAAAGTCATGCCAGTGAATTATTTTATCTTTTTTCTCTCCCCCTTCCCTTCTTCTAGGCAGAGGTTGCAGTAGGGGGTGGGTCTATTTTTAATTGTAGAGGAGCCCACCAAAGATTTCCCAACTCCTGAGCATGTGCCAGAACTACGAGCTTGCCCTTCTTTCCTATATAATACAATACCATTTGCAACACTATCACTTTACCTTCAAAGAGAGAATAAGGTCGGTCAGGAATACGACATCCATGTGCACCATACTCCAAACACCATTCAGCAAACTAGGGAAAACATAGAAAAAAAAAAAGTTAGGGATTTTTTAATTTAAGACTGTTAAATGCAAGCTTGAGTATCCTCATCTACACTAGGTACTAAATGTAAAATAGCGTAAGCAGAGACACATCCAGAAATCACTGTCCGAGATCAGTTTGTCCCACTACAACTGTGACAAGGCTGCAATTAGGTTTTAGAATAAATATTTCCACAGTACGAGTTTCAGTTTCATGACAGTGTAATTAAGTGGGCTGTACTTAACTTCTCTTCTGTGTAAATCAATCCTGCTAGACATCAATGAAGAATGCTGTCAGAAGAGATATATTCAGTTTCAAGGGCAAAATTTTTCTAATTCTATAACATCCATTTCTCATCTGTCTTGGTGCTTAATTTATCCACGTGCTCAGGACTTACGGTTGTTATTTGCATTTTGGTTTTATTTTACTTCCATACATTAGTTTAGATTATTAAATCTCCAGCTGCCATTACTGAGTTTTATTTGCTCTCCCCAAGCCTTATGAAAAATCATTATAAATACAGCTAGACAATTATGGTCATCAATATTTTGTTGCAGAAGACAGAATACCATTAAAAAGAATTAACAGTGTCTTTTCTTGTGTTTCATCAGAACTGCTGCAGTAGCTACATCACAGAGGGGGCCACAAGTTCCCCTGGCATTTCTGTGCTTGGAAGCAAACCACTGCTTATCCAAAATACAGTGCAAAGATTCTTGCAAAGCAAAGAACCGAGAGGTCTCTTCCTACTCCCCCTGCAATCCGGGCAACCTGCTAGCAAAGAGCTCATCCTGCTAACTAGAGCGTGCCCTGGCTCTAGAGTTGGGGCTTTATGGGGTGTGAGCATGTCCCCAGAGCCACCAATTTGTTCAACAGAAGGACAGAGGGTGGCATCTCCTCCCTTCTTCCCCCCACTCTGTCCTGTTTAGATGTTTACTGGGGTATGTATTTTCCTCTTCTTGGTAGGGGTGCATGCATGTGTGCGAATGTCTTGATGTAACCTGGCAAAAAAACCCCACAAGCACAATCATTGTGGTCCACACTGTTACTGAGAACTGATGAAATATTTCTGGGTTCCCCATGGGTATGAATCTTCAAACCAACATTTAATTCTCCATATAATCTTGTTTTATATGTCAGGACAAAACACGTTTATGGCATGTTTCTAAACTACAAGCAATTCTTGCAACATCCACAACTTACTTCATACCAACTAGCCTTTAGTATTACTGTCAGCCTGGGAACTGCAACAGAAATTAAAAAAAAAAAAAAATGCAACCCAGGCTACAGAAGCAAAATCATCATTTACAAATTCACAACGAACAGCACAACTCGCAGATCCAGTAAGCCCCACTAATATCTTTGTTAAACCAAGGGGAAAAAGAAAAGAAATATCTCCTAGCAGAAGACATCTGCCATTATTTCTCACAGAGACTGGGCATGCTTGCCATCAGCAGTGGTTTAATCACAATGCCAAGTGGCACAGGGCTTGGATGCTCTCTATTGCCTGAAGCCTAGGATGCCACAGCCCCTCTCCTCTCCCAGGCAGGCCAGCTAGGAGCAGCTCAGCCTCCTGGAGAAAAGCTGTAAAGCCAAAAGGAAGAAGCACAAACTGGGGGTCTTTGTGAGCCATGGCCTTTCAAGCTCTTCCAGTTAATTTGTGAAACAGTTTCATGGCTCCTGAGAAGTAACCAGGAATTCCTGGCCAGACTCCTTCCTCTGGGCCTCACGTTTTTGGTGTGAGCAAACACCTCTGGGAGGGGAGCCATCTAGTTCTCCCAGTTACATGCCTTTAGGTACCAACAGAACTACACGCTTGCTTCCCTGCATGTTCTGACTCGAAAAGATTTCAAGAATGCCACAGACAGGCAAATTCCTCTGCCTGTTTCAAGATTCCCCTGCAAGAGCCTGAAGGCGCTGGAGATGCTAAAAGGCACCAGGGCTGCAAATACGCTGGGCAGACAGTCTTTGGCCACTGTGCTACATCTTCCTTCTCAAAGGGGTTTCAGGTACGTAACCGAGCCTCTTCCTTCTCTGGCTTTGAAACAGATATGCTTGCTTTTCTCTAGCTTGGCATGGAGAACATCAGGGCTCTCCTGGGCCAGAAACGCAGTACCAGAAGGAGCTGCCAACACTGCCCAGAGCCACAGAAGATGTACTAGCACGGAGGATGACAGGGAGAGCCCACATGTAACAGTCACACATTTGCCGTGGGAGGGCTAAGGGTTTATCCTGTTCTCCAGGATGCAGGTATGCCTACAGGTGTCCTCATGGTGTGATGCTTTGGTAAATGCAAGGTGAGACAAGCAGCAACTTTTTAAAGCTCTGCTGACGGAGGACAGCTGGTGGTGGAAATGAATACAATAGCTTTACATGTGGTCAGTGCTCACCTGAAAGCGCCTAAGAAACAACTCATCAAATTTCCTATTAGAATACTTTTCAAAAGGCCTCAGCTAAATAGCTATGTATACAATATGAAACCTAATATCCATGAATTAAGCTGAAAAAAAAAAAAACCAAACCAACAAACCAAACCAAAACCAAACCAAACCAAAGTCTTATGAGATGAGGAAACAGAGGCTGAGAAAGCCTTCTTCTTTGGTAACTGCTAGCATAGTCAGAGCTGAGAGCAAAATCTGGAAAATTCCAGTGAAAAAATTCCAAGTGTGTCTTTCTCTACAATTTGGATTAATTAAAAAAATCTAAATGAGCAATTAGTAACTACAATTCAGAGCTCTGAAAGCCCTAAACAGACACCAGTCTGAAAACAAATAATTACAAAAGATTACAAACAGTATCGCTTGAGGAGCTGAGGACAACAGTGGATGTCTCAGCGGAATAATTAGCACCACATGACTGTTATTGTTCAGGCAGGCTGATTTTCAGACTCTATTTTCTTCTGAATATGTGTTTAGTTCCTCCCCTCTTACAGAGCATTTGTGCGTTCCACACGGTGTATTAACATGGTGCGTGCTCCACGTATGTAGTTGAAGTGATCCAGTTGAAGTGTGAGTAACCTAGTAGAAGTCATCCAGCTGAAGTGTGAGTAAGGTGAGCAGGTGACAGGACACTGGTATCCCACTCAGCTGCACAGACAGCCAGCTCCTGATCTAGCACAAAACAGCCTACTCTTATCACACGGGCGTTATGACATGAAAGGGAACGGTACTTTTGTTGGGATGCTGCAGAGCTCACCTTGCAAGCCCGGTAGAGGTACTTTTTGTCCTGAGTTAGGTTGTAGAGAGACAAGAAGGAGTAGCCGTTGCCAGCAGTACCATGACAGATTCCATATCCTTTTCTCAATAAACCTCTCTGCCAGATGACATCACTACAGTCCATAGCATCTTTCAAGTATTTATCCTCTTTAAAGGTCTGTGGAATAAAAAAAAGAGAATAAACACACAGAAGTTGAAATACTAATGAAAACAAAAGGAAGCTGGACCTGAGAGATATTTTGCTGTTGGTGTGTGGTTTTTCATATGCAATTTATTTTGAATTTTAATAACCCATTCATCATAGACTAGCCTTTGTTTTCTTACTAAGCTGTTTCTCATTTCTCTGCACGGAAAAAGAAAGAGCTTTTAAAGTTTTTGTTTCTGAAATTAGTACTCCAAAGGAAAAAAAAAACCGCAAGTTCAGCTCTACAACCTGTAGCCTATTTGAAGAGTACATGGTTCTTTTTTGCTCCTCCCCTTCATTCCCAAACCACTACATAATATGATTTGAAGTACAGCACCGTAATTCTTGCCTCCAGGAAATGTAACACAATACTGGCCATCACCTCTGGTCCTAAAGGACTAGGTCCTGGTCTTTATGAGTAATTCTATTATTCTTTAATTCTATGTCGAAAATGGACAAGAATGTCTCTTTGCATAGCACAGGGCTTTTTTCTCTGTCACAAGTACAAGTAGGAACACTCAGTTACCTTGATTACTATTTGTATTGGAAATACGCCGAAGCACTAGCTAGTTTGGGCAAAGGACCAATTTTGCACACTGAGAGAGCCCATCAAGGGAGCAGAAAACAAAACCAAGTAGTTCAGCTGAACACCACCAGACTTCCACCTTTATTGGACTACTTTTTTGCTCCCCTTTGCCTAAGTCACTCTACAGATCAACGAGACAAGAAAGAATAGTAACTAATGCACTGCTGTAGACTTAGTCCTTTAGAGACAGCATCCCCTGCAAGGTTGCTATTTAATAAGGTAATAGAAGCAATTAACGTGCAAGATTCTTAAATCCACGAGCTTGATAACCAAAGGCCCTCTCTCTGAACAGGGTTTGTCAGCTACTTAGCTGTGACATTTCAAATTAAGGCCTTGCAACAGCATTTGATTTCCAGGACAAACACTGCTGTCTGTTACCACAAGTCCTTGTGCTTGGTATGAAAGCACAGCCAGCAAAACATACTGCAATTTTTCTTATCGCTTCTTTAAAAAGCAGATTCTGAGGAGTAAAAGAAAAGCATCATATGCCCCATCACCTTAAATGTAAGAGGCCAGAAAGGAGGCTGCTAAACAGAACTTGGTCCTAACCCTCTTATCTCTTGCAAAACATTTTGTGCTAGGGAAAGCATCCCATTGACAAATAAGGAGGGGAGTCTGTAGTGTTAAGTCAGCCCAAAGAAAATCAACTGTGACTGCTGCTACATTCAGCAATGCTGTAAGACATTTACAGTTCACATTTCAGGTGGCAGCACAAGTAATTATTCCATAAACCAAGCCTGCTTTTCATCAGCCCACCCAGAGGCTGCCCAGGGAATCTGCCAAGGAGGGCTGTCAAAAGTAGGAATTAATTTACACAGCTTTAATTAAATGGCATACTTTCAAATATCATGCAAATCAGAGGTGCACAACAAAAGAGAGATAGCAAACCCAGTTAAGGATGGAGAAGAGCTAACAGTAGACTTGTGGTAGAGCTCAGCAGTTATATTTGTGCCCTAGAAGGGGCCAGGAATCTTTGCTCTACCATGAAGTTCTCAAGAGCTCTGTGTTAATAATATAGAGTAAATTATGGAAGACATTCTTTGGCAAGACACATGAACCTATGCTTTTGAAAACCAACACATTCTTAAAACTCTTGGGATGAAGATTCAAAGAATTTAGGTCAACGTTCTTATACCCAGGACTGTGATATCAGATTGTTTAAATACGTGGCCCTTTTCCAAAAAAGCCTGAAGTCGAGAAAGATGTAAAATGCAACAGGCCTGCGTACAGGTCTCCGTGTAAAAACAGAGGTCCATATGAGCACAGAATGTTTCACCTTATAAGCTTGCATGAGCATGTGGATGACTCCGGGGGCACCATGGCACCAGTGAACTAGTCTGTCAGTCTCATTGCTCAGTGACGATGGGTAATTCCCAGATCGGAATTTTTTATGACGCACATAGTCAATGCTTGGCTTCACCAGCTCTGTCAGGGTCTCCTGGTCCACGTTTGCGATTGGCTAAAGAAAACATGAAAAAACACACCAACAAAACCATACACAGAAGTAGTACCAAATTGGGTTATCAACACTTAATTCTGTGATCTATTTTCAAGTATCCTACATAAGTGCCCTTGATCCAAATACTCTGAATCTCTTCATACAGATTTAATTAATGTCTGCTTACAATACCCTTGTGAAGAGCACTTTTACAGCTACTGTAGACAAAGAAATTGGGACACCAAGTTGTTACCTGTCTTACTGGAGCTGACACAGAAAGACTGTGGAAGAACTGAGAACAGAATATGGATTTCAAGACTCTCAGGCCTCTCTTTATACCTTAAAATAGAGAGGACACAGGAGAAAGATGGTTTTATAGCTACACTGCTCATAACACACACTTAAAACACAATGGCTTATATGTTTTATTTTAAAAATAACATAGGCAAACCTGTCTTACCTCCCAATAAATGAAAAAGAGTGTATGTAGTGGCATACCTGGCAAAGGTTTATGAAGGTTAAAGTTTTCCACCATAAACAAAACTCCCTGAAGCTATGGCTGTAAATCTGCATTTCCAACTTCAGAAGCAAGAGCTGCTACTTCAGGTAGCTAAACATCTTTGTGCTACCAACTCATCCTTAGATTGCTCTTCTGAATTTTCTTTCGCATTTCTTGTATTTAGTTTACATTCTTGCCAAAAAGAATATATCCATCAACTTGTATGCTCCTTGTAAGTAAAGGTTTAAAAGATGAGGATCTGTTGGGTTTGCAGTTGTTCTTTGTTGGCATTCCCTCCTCTACCAGCCCATTTTACAGTATTTTCATAACAGAGTTCTATATTTTCACACAGCCTACATAATTTCTGGAATTCCTGAAAGCTGTGGGGACAACTGCAGAAATTGGAGCTTACAGAAGCCTAATAACTGAGCTTATTTTTTGAAATAACTTGGTTGCTGACTCAATGTCATACTATTTCACAGTTTCCCACCAGCTCCAGCACATCTGCATTCAAGAGGTGAGCGCACTGCTACAACTGACAGCCTTATAGCCAAATGAAGGCAGACTTTCAATAGCTGTTTTTTTCCAGTAAGCTGAAAAAAACCAAAAGCTTCTATTTCACCTCAGCCAGGAAAGCTTTGCCAGACTTCTATGTACCATGTCCCTCAAGCAAATTCCCCCTCTGCGCTTTTCTGAGTGGAACGGAAACCTTCACGCTGCTAATCAGAAGTACACCTTAATACAAATCAACTTATCATTAAGAGCACATCGGAGCCAATTGGCCCTCACGCAAGATGCTGACCTGTGGGGCTGGAAGGCTTTGGGGGGAGCTTTGTTTTGGGGCTCTGATTTCATGCTGCACCCCTGCAGCAGAAGGCAAAGTGGAAGGGCACCAGCAATAAATGCCTTTGATCTTGAGCTGTGCAAGGCAAGCCCAGCTCAGCCCATCCCATCCGTCCTTGGGAGGTAAATCCACAAAGAGCAGAGATCTTTACAAACCCCTTCTCACCTTGTGCTGGACGCCTCTTTTTTTTGTTAGCATCCAATCACTCAACAAATCATCTCTTGAATTCTTTGCTGAAAATACAGAAAAATTCTCCTCATTTGGCGTGGGAGGGATGGGGAAAGGACGGACCCAGATATGCCATCTTCTTCTGCAGTGGATGAGTCAACTCTGAGTGACTCACAATATTGAATGTACAGTGAAAAGACAGGAATCTAATGGTGCACAAACAATGGCTTTGTGGCAATTCTTAAAAGCAGCAATTACATGTAAAGGAAAAGATAGTTATGATTTTAACATGTAGACAGAGTAGCTTCTGCTGCAATTATTTCTGCTACCAGCTTTGAATAGCAAATGAAGGCTGGAGCCTTTAAAGAGGCTTCTTTAAAGGACCGGATGCTTCCCAGAAAATCTAGCAAAGCCAGGGAAGAAAAAATGGAAGCCAGGAAGATGAGGGAGCCAGGAGGCAGTGGACCACCTTGTTGAAGAAAACAGGAAGTGAAGATAAGGGCACAGTAAATCAGATCAGCCTGAGGCTCTAGGGGCATGGTCACTGCAGAAAACGGCTGTAGTGAGGTTAAGAAGTGGCCCCAGGTAGCAGAGCAGTAGCCACTTCTAAAGCAGTCAACCACTTTAGCCTCAGCTACTGGTGGAACTGGTGTGAGCTAATCTGAAGGAGATGGGGAGAAGTCTCAGCATCTTTTGCGAATGAGGAACAGCTGAGCAGTGGCAACACCAAATACCAGTTCAGTCACTTCTGCAGGGAAGGAACATTTGCACGCAGCTTCAGGCTGTGAGGACACTCAATCCTTCCACTTGCCTGAAGAAAAGTAATTCTACATGAGCTGGTAAGAAAATGAACAGTTATAAAGATGCATAGACTGGCAGCACCTTTAAAAACTAGAGATGGGTACACTACAAATTTTGCATCTCTATAGCCATCAACTATAATGAATCCTAAGGCTCTTTCCAGATTGTACAACAGAAATAAGATAATACAGGTCTGTTTTGAAAAACATCATAAGCCTACTGGAGAATCTCAGGGCAGGTGGGAATGGATTTTACTGTGTAAAAGAGGAGAGGAATCTCACTCAGGACAACAGAAAGAGGAGAGCACGGGTCATAAATGCACTAAGGAACATCAGACTTTTGGGGGAGAGGTAGGGGCAATTAGGAAGAGGAAGAACATCTAAAGAATAAAAGCATACTGAAGACTAACGTGTGATTATGGATAGTCTTCCAAAAGCTTCAAGACAGTGAAAAATAAAAAAGTCACTGGAGAAGAGTGGAAGGGCACAGAGGCCAGGAGGCACCAGTGGTGCACTCATTTGAAAACAGCAAAAAATTGAATTAAGAGTGATGGATGGTTAAGTGAATATTTAGCTGGTCTAACTGCAGATATCAGAAAAAGTAAATATTGAGGCCGAGGGAAGGCATCTCACTATCTCTGCTGAGGACAGGAAACTTAGCTCCTGGAACACCAGTGCTCTGAACCACAACTCAAGGGTTAATTCAGTCTAATGGGAGGAAACCCGAGTAACAGTTTTCTGCTGCTGCCAAGGCCTGAGCTAGCATCTCTGCACAGTTCTGTGCTGCAGAGTCTAACTCCAAATTGTGAGACCCTGACTCAGCACAATACCGCATATGCGTGAAAGCTGAAGATAAGATCCTCTGATGCAAAACAAGGAGTCACTGGCATTTTGCACCAGCTCACAGAAGACGCTCTTACCTGCATGAGCATGTAATAGATCCCAGCCACCCCATGGGCTGCTCCAACGTATTGCTTCCTGTGCCACTGGTACAACAAAGGACAACGGTCTGTCTTCCGCTCCTCCTTCGAGAAGTTTTTCCCCGATTCAATAATAGCATCTATTACCTAAGAAAGAGAACATACCCCTTCCGTCTGTCTCGCTTGCTTTGATTCAGAGGGTTTGGCTTTGTCATGACTAAAACCACAGTAAGGAATAAGCCACAATAAACAGTGATAGGACAAAAACATTCAACTAATTTGGACTTGAGTGTTGAGGTAGAAATGGATTTTTTCCTAAATGATGGAATCATTTATATTTCTAAGAGTAGAAATGTAATATCTGAATATTTCTAATCACTTTTTTCCAGGCCTGCCTTCTCTGGTTCTAGTATCTGCAGAACAATCATGCATCTTCCCCACACTGAATTCTCCTCCTTTTCACTCAAACACTTCACACTTCTGTCTTAAGGTTTTTTGGAACAATTTTTCATCCTCAAATGCTCCAAAACTGGTTGCATATTAGATCCATTTCCATGGCCGGCCATGGACCCACCTGCACTGGCCTGTCCAGTCCCAGCTGAGCAGCAGGAAGAGTGGGAAGAGATTGGAGAGATGGATGAGACCAAGTTCCCAGTTCTAGGTTCCCTCTCTTCTCCAGCATCCCTCTCTTAATCCCTTGAATTATGCAAATGAGTGATTCCAGTTCAACCTCACTGATGCTATGACAGAGAGAAAAGTATCTTACCTCTTTGATAACAGACTGTGGGACAGTGTCCGGACCAATTTCAGTATTCAGGTACAGCAAGGCATATAGGTAACCTGCTCTGCCGTAAAGCAGCTCATCTGGAAGTTCAGCGTCTGGGTTTATAACTGTCCTTTGGAGCTGCAACAATCTGCATCCGACAAGGAAGGTGGGGAGAGAGAGAGCATCTTCTCTAGAGACCATACTGGACTGGACTGTACAAGCCATCAATCAAACCAGAAGCAGAACAAGTGCCGAAACCCTACAACTTCCCTTTGGTCACCAGCAGTTCAGCTGGCTGCCAGGTTTACACACAGGAGCTCTGCGTGCCTGCTGGCCCTGCCAGAGAGGCAACTCAGAGCCAGAGCCAGGTATCAGTGCAACTATCAGGCTTTTGTGCAGACAGAAACAGATGTATGGGTGCAGGGCAAGGGCTGGAGGAAGCTGGAGAGCTGCTCCAACAAATAGGGAAGCCTCCTGGAGCCTCTGGGAATTTCATTTAAGTGAGGACCCTTAACTGTAAATGTGTAAGAGGGAAAAAACAAAAATAAACAAAAAACCCCCAATACCATCATTCAGCACTCTCCCTCCCTAGACAACACGCTGTCTCAAATGTTTAGCAGGTCAGTTTTGAAAAGGGCACTGCTATTACGAAAAAATGCTTTGCTTGCCTTTAGCAATGGAAACAAACCTTGGGCTGGCCATCGCAACTCCCATTTGCTCCAAAGAGACTCGCTGCTATTACTCCACCAGTCGGCATTAGAATTGAGGTGGAGCAGAGATCTGTTTTCCTGCCCGCTCCCTCCCTGCGTCTCCTCCTATCTTTTGTGATTAAATTAGTAATTAGATGAAACCATGGAGATGATCACATTTTAAACTGGGGGAGGGGGCAAGACAATCTGGATTAAGACCAAACTCAACTCCCAGATGCCCTCAGCCGCTATTACTTGGCAGAAATGTTAGCACTAACATCATGCCAGAGCAAAAAAACTGACCCCAATGGCTCTTTTAGACTGTCACTGCTTAACACCAGGAAAAAGCCACTCACAAAAAAAAAAAGTTTTATATTATTCCTTTCTTGGAACTACTCTTTCAACTTAGACTTAAATTATTTTAAGATAATTTGCCGAGATCACCTGCTTTGGAGCCAGCCCAACTCCAACAGACCGACTAATCGCAAGGCACAGGGGGGTTTTCGGGAGATTCCTTCGACAGAAAAACCCCGAGACAGCGGCGTAACATGCATCCCACCGCCAGCTCTCCCGTGAGAGGCGTGGGAGCCATGACATGGTGTTGCCGGGGCAACAGTGACCACAGCCCCCTCCCAGTCCTTAAATTCATATGGGGAGGGCGGAGAGCTAGCTTCGGGACATGGTTTAGTGAGTTAGATGGTGTGGGTTGACAGTTGCACTTGATGATCCTTGAGGTCTTTTCCAACTTAATGATTCTGTGATTCTATGATTTTCTTTCAAACTGTCCACTGTTAAGTTCTATGATTCAAATCATACAACTTGACAGGTACAAGGTAAAAAGTTAATAGTGCAATTATAGCTTACATTTTGACAGCCATAATGTATCACTCAGCTGGTGTCATGAATAAAATTGTAAACAAAGAAGGAATAAAAAAACCCAAATAATCAGACTAATCTCCTTTTCAGTTCTCCTCCTAGAAATTACTTTCCAAGGAGAGGTGAGACTAAAAGAATTATTGCTAATCTCATTTTGCTATACTCACGCTTCGTGCCTAACGCTGCTTTCCTAGTTGCATCCGAATGACATGCCCAAGTTTAGTGCCAGTTCTAAAAGCAAAAAAAGCCAAACCTACCACCCATTTCAAAACTGAAATATTAATTCAGGAACAGCAGCAGAGATTAATCACACTAGGATTCTAGATTAGAAAGAAGCCAATTGTATTTCCAAATATAAACCAGAAAGGAGATGAGGACACAAGGTTAGTCTGCAAATTCTGGCAGCCTAAGGTATGCTGCTGGACTGCTAGCAGGTGGATTGCTGCTATCGAATGCAAACCCCACATGGCTCCAGTACTTCCAGCCCTCACCAGGACAGCAGTCAACTAGATACCAGCAAAGGGACAGTCAGCTCTCCAAGGAAGTGCTACATCTAAATGGGATTTCTTAAGATCTTTGTTACATTTAGGTTACTTTGAAAAGGGGCTGGAATTTTTCCAGGCTACACTTTATATGCTCTGAGCTAATTAAAGCCCTTGCCTTTGACAATTCAGCAAGTACCTCCTTTTTGTTTTATTAAATCCTTGTTACATATCAATCTGATGTACCATGTTTCTGTCTGGATGTCTCCAGATTGCTGCAAGTGTACATGTTTTGTAATGAATCTAGAACTAAGACCCATGCTTTACAGGAAGCATCACATACGGCACAAGCACTACATATTGCTGATGACAAGCGTGTGGCTTTTGTTAAATGTCACTTCAATGTGACAAAATCGAAACGTGCATGCACTAGAGATTCGCCCAGGACACCCTGTCCTTACAGCAACAGAGGATTCAAGATAACCCACTAAAGACAAAGCAAGTGTAAGCCAGCTTTAATGAAGATAAAGCCTATTTTGTATTCTTCTGGTGAAAATGTTATCAGGGGAGAAAGTGTCTCCATTTTTTAATCCTGTCCTCCAAAACTCCACTTGCTAATGTCACTGAACCAATGCTCTCTACAAACGAAGTGCATGACTTTCTCCACCATCAACCACTTACTTGGCAATACATTCTTTAGATTCACTGTCATTTTTCAGCTTGTGATAAACCACTGCACCCACTGCCAGTGGCCCAGCATCGCCACAGAGGAAAGTAACTCTTCTGCCATTCAGATTACGAAGGATTCTCTTCACATAATCAAGAGATCGCTGCAAATGGCTCTGGTTTTTCGTGACACGGTACAGTTGCAGATATAAGAGGGCAATGCCTGGAACAATCACATGAAAAAAAGAGACAGTTTCATTTACTTTTCCTTCTGAGTACATCAAATTCCCCTTTAGTGCCCCTGAACCAGTAACTCAAATGCAAACACATATTTGGTCAATTAAAACAAGTCCATCAAGGGTCTTAGCTTATGCAAGAGGAAGGCATCAGGCCATCTATCTTGACTACATCTCGATTTGGATTGTGAGAAAAATAAAAAAAATGTATCAGACTGAAGCCCAATGGTAGACTCACAATTTGCAGAGAATGAAAAAAATTCATGACACAGGCACCAAAACTTGCAGAGTCAAAAACTTGGGCTAACAAGCACGTATACAGTTGAGCACATTGACTGCACAATACTCATCTATTATATGCAAGAAATTATTTCTTTTCCATTTGATTTTTTAAAAGGAAGTTTTGATAAGGTTTTTAATTCAACTTGCCAAGTTCTCTAAAACCCTCAAATGTACTTCACAACAAGATTATGAGCTTCTACAAATTAATCTGGTTTGTAAAAGCCAGAAAGCAAACGAGTCCTCAGAGAACGCTGGAAGGTAACATCAAACTTCACTGAACTCATGACATAGTTTTCCATTAAAACAAAACCAAACCTTAAAAACTGCATCCACATAGACCTAAGAAAGTGAAACAAATCCATCCCAGTGGATGTTTATTCAGCAACTGCAATCGTACATATGCAGAAGGAAAACATGTATCTCCTGACTGTGCTGCATCTCAAGCTCCTGTGTCTGAGCAGGGAGAGCATTCTCCTGAGCCACGACTAAAGCAGAGAACACGAGACCCTCTTAGCTCCCCAGAGAGGCTGCCTCAGGAGCACTAGAAGAATAGCTCTGTAAGAGTGCTGGTACATCCTCAGATGTTCTCCACACTGGCTTTGAACTGGCCTTTCTAGATGAGTCCAAGAGGAGAGCTGCAGAGCTTTGTTAGGCCAGTTCAGTGGCACAGGAACTTGTGGGCTATTCACTGGGATCTCTAGAACCCTTTTTTATGTTGCAACAAATGTGTACATAGCTGGGCTTGATCAGGGGATGATCAGAAAGAAGCCATGAGGCCCACTTCATCCAACCCTTCCTTGTGCAACACCTTTAAAGTGGCTCCTCCAAGATGTCTGGCACATACAAACAGTACTTGTATCAGCAAGAGGACTCCAACATTGAGTCCTATGACTGTCATGTGGCAACAGCATGCACTCCAAGATTTTCAAGACGTTTCACAAAGTACAAGCCAATGCTCAGGACCATGCACTGCCAATCAGATTCATCTAGACTTGGTACATAACAAGCAGGGCAGTTACTCTCCACATTACTTTTACCCTCTGATATGCACACTAGCAAAATGCTGCAAGGAGCAATTTTGGGGAGAAAGTATTTGCACTAAATATTTTAAAAGCCAGATCATTTAGATATTTTTGCTCAGAGTCAATTCCACAGGAGCCTTGAAGGAAGTTTATAACTTGCAATAGCTGTAAGTTGGCGATCCTTCTAAAGGATGGAAAAATCCCATTCTCATTAGACTGCGTTACTTGTTCATCTGTCTTCTTGTTTCAGCTAATGATGGCTGTGTTACTTTTAGCTTATGACTCATTTTCAGCATGCTCTGGTTTATCAGCCGTAACTTCAGTTGTCAGTCACAGTGTCAGAACACTGCTCCCAGGAGCTGTTTTGTAATGTCAGCATGAGAATGCCCCCCACTTGAGATCCTCTGCACTCACTTAGCAGCAACTCCCTTTCAGACCTTAAAACACATCTATCTTTTAAGGCTGAGTTGTCTAAAACTTCTGCACCCATCCACCCATGGCACCATCTGTACCAAAACATCAAGAAGAAAGCAAAGGAATTTTACGCTTTCATTGCCAGAATTAAGCCTGAGAACAGGCAAAGCCCAGAAAGTTTTTCCAAGCTGCTCCCCCTCATGACAAAAATGAGAAAAGAACAAATCTCCTCAGGGCGTATTTCAACCATGCTGTGCTAAAAGCACAAGTATGTCTGAAGCGTGAGCTAGACAGAGCAGGAACAGAATATGCCACTGTAATAGCAAAGTGGCACTTAAGAGGCCAAGATGGAAAAGTGTTTTTTCAGCCTGAAGAGCAGTGGCTGCATCGGGCTTGACAACTGCAGGTTCTGCCAAAAGGGTCAGAAGGGCTCATTCACATGTGGACGGCATCAGTGATGCAACGCTAAATGAACGATGGTACCTAGCAGTAACCAGCGCTTGCGCCGTGCACCTCATAATCTTGCAACCCCAACTCCATACTCCCCCTCCTCACACATTCATTTTACCATTTTTGTACAGACAGAAAAAGAGCCAAATTATCCATATTCCAGATTTTAGGGCTCAAGCGCAGAACAGCTCCCGTTCCCCCAAATGATTAGAAGATGTTGTTACTATCAGACACTGCTAACTATCAGTCAGCTGAACAGAAAAAGGTGAAAATAAGAAACTAGAGGTAAGCCAAAAGTAAATCCACTCCTTTTGCAAGATAAAGATCTCCATAAGCCAATTATCTCTCTGTAAGTAGATCCTTTGTCCAGTTAAACCAATGCTAGTCATGCCAGACAGGAGTGACCAAGGTGCCAGGGTTAAAGAAATCAACTCACACAAATGACTATATCAGAATATTTCTGCTGCTCCTGTGAGAATATCAGAACCTCCTCCTGTGAATAAACCCAGTTACGCCATTTAACAAACAGCTTCATTCAAATTCTAGCTTTCTCACCAGTCCAGCCAGTATAGGCAGAACAGTCATGTGGATCTGCAGTCTTCAGCCCCTCCTCCATTTGTTGCAGAAGGTCCTTGATTTTTGTCTGGATCTGTTTTGAGAACCGAGCACTGACCTGAAAATAGAAGACAGGAGAAAAGGAGCAAGTCAGAAAAGGAAAGAATCCAAGAACACAAGCTGACTGCTCCACTTTCTTGTTTGGAAAAAAAAAAAAAACCAAACCAAACAAACAAACCAAACAAAAAATAACTAGGTAATAAGTAGTACATGCAGCAATCAGCAGTGTCAAGGTGGTTCATCTTAAGTGTGTCCCATGAATGCATTCTGGTTACATATTAGAATAAGTAACTAGTATCTACATTGAACAAAAATTATCTGGAAATGCTTTAAAGTCACATGAAGAGCAGCTACAGACCCTGTGACAGTATGTAACTTTATGCTGCCTCTCATCTCAGGCTCTGTATTAACAGTAAGCAAAACTTCCCTGAGATGAATAAAAGGTGAATAAAAGCAAAGAGAAGACAACCATCTGCTCCCACTCTGTGGGCCAGTACTCCATTGATGGTCCTGGTACCAAGATCACATTAGGGATGAACGCAGCACAGTCAACCTACAAGCCCTCATCACAAGGTCCCTGCACATCCGTTGTGGAAATAGCTAAATCTCATATTTGAGACAACCAAGTCAAATTCAAGTCACTGTTTTAACGATTTGTTCAATCACTTCATCTATTATGTATTTTTCTTCCTAAATCTGAGATTCTTTTTGATGTCCCACTTTGTGATCACCACATGGAAGGCAAGTCACTTAGAGACATAAAATGCCCTTCCTCTCACTTTCTGCCTTCTCCTCCCCTCCCAGAACAATATGAGAGCTGACATGCTTTATCATGAGAGGAGTCGTTACATGCAGTGAACTATTAAAGAACTACCTAAAAGAATGAGCTAGACACAAGTAAGACGAGTAGAAGTAGCTCATCACCTTCAGCTCATGCATGAAGTTGAAGAAACAAAATTTTTACTTTAATAATTTCTTGCTTTTACTTTTGACCAAGAAAAGTTTACATAGATGCTATATATGAAATATAACACTGGATACTTTACTCTTGCTGCCATTCCTCTCATTAAGCATACTGCACGAGAAGATACGTTACTGATTACTCCCTTAAGCCTATGGAATGTGGAAATAGTCAACCAACTAGAATTCACTGACCTATTAACTTCCATGGGAAAGAATACTCAAGAAGTTCCTTCACAGAACAAGTCTACATTTGAGCGGGAACATCAGAAACCATTGTGGGTGAGGTTTGGTTTTTTTTTCTTCTATAAACACTACCACTTATTGATCAGCTTTTTCTATTAACACATTCATTAAAAGCTATTTTATATATTTAAACAGAGCTTGAGAGTTTTACTAGTTTACTAGTTTTACTTATGGAACAACTTACCTACTGCAGAGCTAGAAAAGGAGAAAAAACAACCCTCTTCCCTTCCTGGACTATCGGAAAAGCTTTATTATTGCCAGGTGATTGCACCACTCTGACAAAACAGTGAGGTACACAAACTTCATTATGCCACTCAAAAATATTTTCTGAATGTGCTTTTTCCATCACTTACAGAAAGCCCCAAGCATACAACACTTGTCACCCAGGTCTCAGCTATCCGGGAACATCTAGCAGAGAAACTCTTTAGGAACATGGAAGCCAGCAGAATTTCCCCACCTCCCAAACCAAGAGTCACAATGTAGTGGTCGTCAGAAAAAGGGCATTATGCAATTTGGCTGCCTATCATCTTATACCGAGAATAAGCTACTGAACAGCACTTCATCTCCTTCCACCACTTGCTTCCCCAACCTGCTCCCAAATAACAGACTGGTGAAGGCTTAGTTTCATGTTAAACACATCTACATTTATAATATTTTACTGGAGAAGGAGAGATTAGCTCTTTAGGAAAGCAAGTTCTTGTTTGATTACAACACATCTCAAAAGGGAGGGGGGTTCAGATAAATGATGGGTCCTGGATGCCAGCACACGTTGTACTCCTCTTCAGAGCAGACCTTAAAATAAAAGTTAGTGAATTCAAGCATCCATTCAACAAATTCCGAAATCAGAAAGATAACAGCAATTACACAAGTCCTCTGACATGCTCACAAGTCTTCAGGGTCAATGGTTGAAATCTATTTTATAACGGTGGGATACAGAGGGAAAAGGAAATTGTGCCATTATATCTCACGTCTCACACACACCACTCTAGGAAGGAGCTACGGCCCCCTTCACCTCCTCCAGTAACTCCAGAAGTAGCAACCAAATGCAGTAAGCAACTGATGCCTACAACTCTTTGGCCATAACACGGCATTAAGCATCCTTTTGTTAGGAAACTCTACCACACACAGTATTCCCCCCACCCTTTTAACTAGTTCAGTGAAGTCTCAACACAAAGCAAAACCTTTCCCAAGGGCAGGGCTTCTCTCCTTCAAAAGCCAGCTATGCCAAGGCTAAGGCATATGGTGACACAGCGTGAGGATATCCACGTGGATGCATCCAGGTGTAGCACTCAGTTTATCTGACAAGAGCGAACTAAGGTTTCACACTCCCGGTTTATCTATCTACTGCTCGGCACACGCAGGCTGGTTACCTTTTTGTTCTGACAATACACAAATCAGGGTATTTTTTTATCAGACACCAAATCAAATTACTTAGAGGCAGGACATCAGGATTCCTGGGTTCTTTGAAACCTTGGTCCCATACAAATAATTTAGCTGAGGTTGGCATTTCCGTCTCTCTAAAACGGGAACTGTAACTTACCTATCTTGATTCAGTGTTTGGAAAAGCACAGATGAAAGGATTTTTTATTATTATAATTATTTATCAGCCCAAACAAAACTACTCTCAAACTTATGCCATGTTAACTAGGTTAAGAGTGGCAACAAAGTTTTCCTCAGCTACCCACCCCTCCACTGCTGCCTTTTTTTTTTTTTTTTGGTTGCTCTGAATCTTTAACAACCGAGCACCATTACTGTTCATTTGATGACATTCCACTGTAAGCTCATAACAGATGCTTACATGCACGAGAATAAATTAATTACTTAAATAAATGAAAGTTGAAAGGTGGCTTTAGAAGATTTATAAACGTCCTTCAAGGAATCTTATGGCAGCATTACAGCGGAGCATAAAGCACGCTACTTCATGTTGAGCACAGATTGATTTTCACGAGAAGCATATTCATTTTATGAGGATGATTCCAGCTGGCATTCAGCCTTTTCCGTTGGCGACACTAGTTTTTCCTACAGGGAAAAACAAAAACCAGGAAGCCTGACCTCTGTTACCCTGCATCACATTTACTCCTGTTTCCCAACAGACTGGTAACAGGAGCTGAAGAGTAACTTTAACAAGTAGGAAAGGCTTTCTCCAGCAATTCAACTGCTGCATGACTCCTCTGCTGCTGCAGGAAGAACAAATACTATCATCCCAACCACTGCTCAAGTTTTACATTGGCAAAACACAAGAAATGCTCATTCATCATTCTAACCAACAGAACCCTGCACCATACTGATTACAGTAAAAAGAAACGCTCATTATCAGCGTGAAACAAAAGAAGTGCAGAAAAATACAAATACATTGGGTTTGGAAATGAATTGTTTTGTGGTTTACTTGAACCATATCACTTTTTCTATTGCAGTGAGGTGGTATGCAAAGCTACATCCCAAACCAAAGCCTTCCTTTGTAAGGAGAATGGAAGGAATAAAATTGTATATATATATAACTCCCCTTTGGCACTAAGTATTATTTGTTTAAGTATTGTAAGTTATTTGTATAATTATGCCGTCCTTGTCAGCAATACCTGTCACCAATCTGCCTTCTTTCATTTGTAGGGTTCCTAAAAAGCACTTAAATAATCTTCTTTTGTAAACCCAGCACCGAATCTACATACATACACAAAAACACAGCATAACACAAACAAAAATCTCCTAAATGAAATGCACATTTAACTTGCAGTTGCTATTACAATAACGCACCAATTCTTACTGACCTCCATCTCCATTACAACCACATCCAGCTTTACAATAAACCAGCACCAACAGCAGGTGAGGCAATAAACAGCTGCTACGTCTGTGTTCTAGATGGGAATTTCTGGTAAGTAAGAGACGCCTGTAACTTAAAGTCTTGCAAGTTTTAAAATAATGGATGCACAGAGTGCTACCTATTGAACAAGCAAGATGCACTTTTATTTCATCTCAGTTTGGATCAGATTAAGAAGAGATATTTCAGAGAGAAGTGACTGTTGTTTGGTAATGTGTAGAACAGGAAACACAACATAGTGCTGCGTTTTCTTTTAGGCAAAGTGCATTTCACAGAGGAAAAAAAAAATACAGCCCAAGTTGGCACTGCAGTGAGAACTCATTCAAAAACCAAACTTGCATAGAAGACTGCAGGAGGGACATGACAGACACTGGTAAGGGAGAACAGGGTGGCAGGTGACTCACAGGTCTACTGAAACAAGAAATCCTGGCCATACTGAAATCATTGGGAACTTTGCCACTGACCCTAAGGGAGCCAGGTTTCACGCCCACGCGCTGGAGCATGGGTTTATTGAAACAGGATGAGGTCTCACCACTCACCTCCACAGAGCTCTTGCATGAGGAGACCAGAAGGAATGGCAGCAGGATCCCACATCCAGAATCTAGCAAGGTCAGCTGGGAAGTGACCAGCCTTTTGGTAGGGAAAAATAAGTTTTATTTTGTTTTTACCTAAATGAAAAGACTGCTACAGCTTGCAAGTGTGGCTTTTTTTCTTCTCTGAAAATACCAGGTACTAAGAAACCTCACCACTCAGCCTTTGAAACACAGCTCTCTGCTACTACTCATTTAGGTCCTTCCAGAAACAAATGCCAGTTCTGCAAAACCACATGCTTAATAAATGATTTGAAACACTGCTGGCTGTAGAACACATTGCTCTGTTTTTCAGTGATCTAGCATCTATTGCCATACGTGTGATAGTGGGGTGGAGGGGAGGGCGAGGAGAATAAAGGAGGAAGGGAGGGAAAGAAAGACAGAAAAATCAATAGCTGTAGGCAAACTACTACACTGATACAAAACCCAGTTTAGGAATAG